TTTTGAATAAAACGAGTAGTCAAACATTACAAGCAAAAACTCAAAATCCATATTATGGGACGGAGGAGTACTAATTAGGCTAAACAAACATGTATATATATATATATATTTGAACAGGACGTACAAGTATACATGCATACTGTCATGACTCACGAGGATCCAATTAACCTGGAAACAATGTGTTATATTAACTTAAACAAATTGAATAGAGTTCTCAAATAAGAAAAACAAACTGAATAGTGCGCTAGTACTTTCTAGCAAATATATATTAATACCTCTGTCTAAAATAAAGCTACTTTTGAGCTATGTACTTGGACAAACTCTTATTTCAAATACATTGGCAGACGTCGTTATATTTTAGAACGAAGAGAGTGCTAGCGTGTGTTTCTCGAAAGCGGAAACTTCTATTACATGACACAATATATTGTTGTTGACCGAAATGTCCAACTCATCAAACCTTAAATTACTTCACTCTTACAACATGTTGACGAGAACACGTACCCTACTTGATTAACATAATACACAGCCACCGAATACCACTTGCAGTTGTTCACATTCAATTTTGAGTGACTTATACCCACTTAATTTGTCTCTACTACCTTACCCCATGCAGCATGTCCTGTGCCGAACACACTCCATGGCGTGAGCAAACTAAATAAATTTGTGTGTTTATATCCACATAAATTAACAAGCATTATTTTGGTGATGGAATATAATATAACTAGTATAATATAATAGCAGCTGATGAACTAATCCAATCTCAGGCCGGCCTGTGGCAGGCACACGCAAGGGGGGGCCCTCGAAAGATCAGTTGCAACAACACATTAGTCTCTAATGATCTACTCTCTCCATCCCAAAATGTTTGACGCCATTAACTTTTTTAAAAATGTTTAACCGTTCGTCTTATTCAAAAAATTTAAGTAATTATTAATTTTTTTCTATCATTTGATTTATTGTTAAATATACTTTTATGTATACATATAGTTTTACATATTTCACAAAAATTTTTGAATAAGATGAACGGTCAAATATATTTTAAAAAATCAACGGCGTCAAACATTTAGGGAACGAGGGAATACTATACTTTTCAGAATTATGGATGAGAAAGGCTGCTGTTTTGGTTGAGGCCCTTTTGGGTTACTTTGGCCTTGACACCTGTTGTCTCCTCTTCTTGTCATGGAATATATCTCTTCTTGTCTATGCTTGCATATGCATGCTTGCTTTTCACCTGTCAAAATATGCATGGCTCTCGATCTACTGCCTATATCTATGGACATTTTGTCTCTCCGGTTCATCATTCTTGAGAGGATTGGGGCTATATGATTTGATTTGCCGTGTCCCACGTGTGATTTGAGTTTATTTAGAGTGGAACCTGTCGAAAGAGATATTTTCCAGCACACTGTTGAAATAGATATTTTCCAAGATTTAAACAGTTTAATTTCCGGTTCTCTCTTTTTTTCCTGCTACAGATATGTTCTACGCCGTTTCAAAATATAAGCACTTTTACGTGCTTTTCAAGTTGTACCAGGACACATCCCTCCATCTAGATACATTTTAGAAAATCAATCCGCTGAAATATATATATATGCTTATATTTTAAAGCAGGGGGAGTACACATGAAACAAAGTGTCAAGAAAAAGTCCATTTTATACTTTTAAGTTTTATAAAATTCTGAAAATTCAAATAGGACAATATTTGCCTCTTAACTTTTCAAACCGTACGTTCACCTCCAAAACTTTACAGGCAAAGCTTTTGGCTCACCTCCAAAACACAAGCACTGTATTGAACTGTCAAAATTTTCTATGTTAATCTTGACACGTTCCCTAGACAGAAAGCGATGCACGCAGTGACCTGCTCACACACGTAAAAAAGCAACTAGTCTCCAACCTTGATTGCAGCTTTGAAGATTAGAAAACACTAAAAACTTGGAAGGGGACGCCCTTACCCTTGTTCCAAGAGACACTTGGGCCAAGATCCTGCAACAATATTCCAGCAGGTATACATGATTAAATTTAAGTAAAGGAAGAAACGCACGCAGATTTATGTGAGTAGCTAGCCTAGCCATCGTCTCCGTGATCAGGGAGAAAGTGGAGAAGATGACAACGTTTGGAGTTGGTTGGATCTTTTGTCTAGATCGACCACCACACATCATGCCTGCATGTTAATTTCTTCAGTTTTTCCATGATGCTAGCTGTGCATTGACCTCTTCTTCTGCATGCTTGCTGCATGCAGACGTCGGTGGTAACTTTTCGTTTTCACCACTTTCCACTTCGCTGATTAATTTATGGATAATATACAGCATGGATCTTTGATGCTATGATCAAAGTTCTGAAAATTTACTTGTTGTAGAGCTCCGAAGAAAAATAGGGATGAAAACAGTTTCGAAAAATTCCAGACCGGCCGATCGAGTATCGCTTCCATAATAGTTACAGTTTGACCGTTTTCCGATTCAAGCTATATATAAGATTCGTTTTTTTCTAACTTATGTCAGTATCATGTTGATGCCATTACTAAATATATAGCTAAATTAGTAGATTTAGATTTTTCACATTTTCACCACTTCACTTATGGATATAGTAGCATGGATCTTCGATGCTACGATCAACTTCTCAAAAAAATTACTTGTTATAGCACCGATGAAAACGGTGGTGGAAATTCCATACAGACCGAATCACTAATTTCTATCCGCGTCTGTTGGTTTATATATAGTCGCTAAATAGTTAAACTGGTAAATACGAAAAAAATCCTTCTTTGATCAACCCAGAACCGTTTATTTGTGCAGACATGATTGACATCGATTCCAACCCAACCGTGTTTTCGTCCTCGGATGATAAAATCACTCCACAAGTTGAAGCTTGAAACGGGATCAGTTGGGATCGATTCGGTCCCATCGTAGGTACTCCCTCCGTTCAAAAAATCCCACTTCTAAATTTGAATCTAGACAAGTAGGTTAAAATTCGATCGGGTTAAGCACTTATGTTGGACCGGTTAATTTCCCAACCGAAAGCTGGTGTGTGTGCAGCTGCAGCTTTATCTGGTGGTCGTTGGCTTATCCTTTCTTGGATCAGCCAGCGAGCTAGCGCTAGTGCGCCGCACGCGCCGCCTGCGGCTGCCCATGCATGTCTCGGTCCCTAGCTCGTCGTCCTTTTCGCGCGCTGCTCGTGGCGGCCACACGACCACGGGACGACGTGCCGCGCGCCCGCGTACGCGCGTGTGCACGCCGCCCCGGGAGCCCGCCCGGGATGATGGCCGCCGCGCGCGAGGCGTTTTGTCGTGTACGCGTATACGTCTCCCCCTACGCGTCGGTTGGATGGGCACGTACGGCCGATCGATATGGATCCGATCACTCCCATCACACTTGCGACACTAGGGATTTTGAACAGATGAGATATTTCCAAGTACTATAGATCTATACAGGACTCCTTATCCATATTCATTATACTAGAGAATATCTCATCTGTTCAAAATCTCTTATATTTCAGGATGGATGGAGTATAATGTGCTGTTTTGATCCAATTTGTAGAGAGGATCAACGAGCAGTGTTTTCAACTAGGCATGCATAAGGATAGATAGAGCTAATTAAACCGCCCATTTATAGCAGTTTAGGCACCACCGGGAGACAGTTGAAATTCAATCCCTTAAATCTTGTTTTCAAAATCTTTAATGGGATTTAAAGACATGAAAATATGTTAGCCTCTAACATATAGCTTATAATTTGACTTCCCAGAACAATTAAACATCGGGCCGTGCCAAAATGAATCGGTCATCGATGACGGGGATATATTATCCTCTCTCCATACGCACACGACTCCACCTCCACTCGGCACACGCTCCGTGAAGGAAGAAGGTCCAAGCGGCGGATTGAGAGCTAGGGTCATCTTCCAATTTGTGGGTACAGGGTTTGGGGATTTGATGGAAAGATTTTCTTTAACCTAAAATTCTGTAATTTTGCGCTTTGGGAGTAGTCTAGGGAACTCTTATTGGTGCTTTTAATTACCCCATACGATTTTGTTAGCTGACACCCTTTTCCATGCGGTGGATCCCACCAACCGTTCTCTCCCAACCCGCCGCTGTAGGTGCCACCGTTATCAACTATCACCCATTACCAGTCAGTCACTACCCCGTCACCCCTCTAAGATCCAGGAATCACGACAAGCGGTCGGAATCCATTCACGTGTTGAACACACACGTGTGTGTTCACCCATTATACTTTTCAGAGCGGTTGAAACCCGTTCGTGCAACGAGCATTAGGCTTATCGGATATATATTACATTGATAGCCTTTATGCAGTAAATTTGGCCAGCCTTACTGTGTCTTAGCTAGTAAGTACTCAGTTATGTTAGATTTCGTACGTTATACATTTAGCTTAGTTAGGCACCTATGTGAATGGCAGTATCATAGCAGAAATCGAACTGTGAATAATAATTGATACCTGTCATATCCATCCACTATAGAAGTTGTTTTAAAATATCAAATATATCCATTTAATTTGTTAAGTTTGTAGTAATTAAAACTTAATTAAATATACTAATAGCTTTCTCATTTTACGTGCGCCAACTTAATCTTCATCTTCATCAGTTTTAAACACTACCACAGTAGCTTAAAGCAATCAACAGCTGTTGCATATCATGCCATGTTTCGTAATTGGAATCAAGAGTCCTTAATCTATAAAGGTATTTCACAGGTAAACCACTTTAGGTTAACGTTCTTCACTTTTAACCTCCAAATTAAAAAGTCATATACATGAAAAATAGACGATGTGCATTTTTAAGATAGGAAAGCAAATATTACCACCTAAACTAAACATGCCACTATGGCACAATTAACAAATTTTGCTCCACTACCATTGAGGTATCAATTAATTAATGTCGTGAAAAGAAAAACACATTAATTCGAGTTCAAAAGACCTTGTATGACCAAACAGCCATAAATCCCTTCTTGGCAACCATCCAAGCCCAAATTGGTCATTTCACCAATGCTCTAACCCCTATAAATCCCCTCCCCAACCCTTCCCATTTCGCTCACACATCGATCACAGAAAGCTAAGCTAAAGTGCTAAACTAAGCACGAGAAAATCTAATCAACCAAGCTTAGATTAGATCATTAGCTATATATAGCTAGGCGATTTAATCATCCACGAGCTAGCTTATTAGCTAAGCAGTAGCAGCAGCAGAAGATCGAAGATGGTGAAGGAGTTCGTGCAGGACGAGGAGAAGCAGCGGCTGCTGCTGGACGAGCACACCGAGAAGCACTTCACCGCCGGCGAGGTGGTCCGCGACATCATCATCGGCGTCTCCGACGGCCTCACCGTGCCGTTCGCCCTCGCCGCCGGCCTGTCCGGCGCCAACGCCCCCTCCGCCCTCGTCCTCACCGCCGGCCTCGCCGAGGTCGCCGCCGGCGCCATCTCCATGGGCCTCGGAGGGTAAGCCCAAAACCAAAAATAAATAAAAATAAAACAAAATAAAACTTTCCTCCTCTTCTTCTTCCTCTGCAAATCTCTTTCTGTTTTTTCTTTGATTTCTCAACTATTTTGCTTGGCAAAATGGCAAGCATATGAATGCATGCGTTTTCACAGCCAAATTAATTAATTAATTACCCTTTTTTACCATGTTTTTTCGCTGCATTTTTCTCTCTTGGAATTAAAGTTAATTTTGATTGTTATTGGATTATTTTGATTTTAATTATAGGTATCTGGCGGCGAAGAGCGACGCCGACCACTACCACCGCGAGCTGCAGAGGGAGCAGGAGGAGATCGACACCGTGCCGGACACAGGTAATTAATTAAGTCGGTAACAGTAATTAATTTCTCTCGGAGTTTTTTTTTACTACATCTGAGTTTATTATTACCACGGTGGTGGTTCGACGGCTGAGATTGGTTTGGCCCCACTTGGCAGAGGCCGCGGAGATCGCGGACATACTGTCGCAGTATGGGCTGGGCCCAGAGGAGTATGGGCCCGTTGTTAACTCCCTCCGCAGCAACCCCAAGGCCTGGCTCGAATTCATGATGAAGTAAGGGGAAAAAACTAATTAAATCGAATTAAATTTAAATTAACTTCATTATTATGGAATTTCATATTTCTTATGACAATAGAAATGATTTACATCTCATGATCAGTGTGGGTGTCGTGTGTTAAATACTTGGAGAAATATATAATAACTTATCGGGGACACATATTATAGGTTTGAGTTGGGACTGGAGAAGCCGGAACCAAGGAGGGCGCTGATGAGCGCGGGAACGATCGCGCTGGCTTATGTGGTGGGTGGGCTGGTGCCACTCCTACCCTACATGTTTGTGCCGACGGCCGACCGAGCCATGGCCACCTCGGTCGTCGTCACGCTCGCCGCACTTCTCTTCTTCGGCTATGTCAAGGGCCGGTTTACTGGCAACCGGCCCTTCATCAGCGCCTTCCAGACCGCTGTTATCGGCGCTCTCGCCTCCGCCGCCGCCTTCGGCATGGCCAAGGCCGTGCAGTCCATCTAAGTACTGTAGCCGGAGCTCCGGCTGCAGGCATCCAAGTAAATGTAATTAATTTAGCAGATCCAATAAGTATTGCAGAAATGTATGTATAAGTATTTATGTACGTTTGCTGCGTGCTTGTAGTGTATTAGATGTTCTGGAGGTGTATCCGTAGTTAGCCCTAAGTGTACCATGTACACGAGTGTAATCACTCATTTTATATCGTCTTCTATTTTGGCTCCCTTTTTTATATTCGGTTGGGATTAATTAATAATGTATTGTCGATTTGTAAGCAATGATGTGCTTTGTTATCTATACTTACTTAATTTAATTAGGTAGTTCGGTGCATTGAGAGGAAATGTGGATGATAGTTGATGGGCTGTGAAGAACAGACACGGCCAAGATTAATTTTCAGTGCAACCCAATATTTGTCAAACTATCAGCAAAATTCTTTATTTTTTCAGAGAACGATCATCAACAGTTACATTATTACTAAACGTGACATATGCAGTGATAAAAGATATTTTTTATAAATATTTGAGTTTCTCGCAGGATAAAAATTCTACTCACAGTGGTTTATTATTATATATGAAACAATGATACTCTATACTCTATATGTTCCTCAGTTAGGCGGTACAGATGAGGGGCCTCATCGGTGCTGGTTGTTATCCGGCACCTATAGGTTGTACGATTTGAAAAACAAAAAACGGACTTGGCTCAATTCGAACCGATGCTCCAAATCCACCAAAAATAAATCGAAAAGCGAGAGAGAAAGGGAGTACAATTTCATCATATAAATCAAGCCGATGATTGGATAATGAAGAAACAGATACCCAAGAAAACAAATCATTGAATAAACACATCACATAACCAATATTTACAAAATTCATCACATGGATTTGGAAATTCTAAGACCACTCGTTGCTGTTGTTCACCATGGAGAACTTCAGCCACCTGCTGCCCTACAGATAACTACTGATGTTGAGATCATAGGGATAGAGGGATGAAAGGAGGGAGAATAAGAGGGGAGGAGGACACAAACCTTTGGCGTCAGTGTGGAGGATGAGGCCAGCGGTGGGAGGATGTCACACCCTGAAGTTCTTCTCTCAAGCCTAAATTGAATTTATAAATCACCTAGAGAAAATACCGGTGTCAAAGCAAGAGAAACCCTAATAAATTAATGCAAATAAAAATCGGAATTGGCATGTGGGATTTTTCTTGAGTTCTACATGTCGAAATATGCTAACAAGATTTTTAGTGGAATTTTCAGAGCTTTAGAAATAATTTTAACCAATTAAAAATAAGCACAAGCATTATTTAATCCCTGGAAATTCTTCTCCTTTTTCTTTTTCTTCCTTTTCCCCCTCCTTTTCCCCAAATGGGCCGCCGGCCCATTTCCTCCCCCTCCCGCGCCTTTGCTGGGCCGGCCGAAGGCCACGGTCCAGCCGCTCGCCCGAGCCCCCCTCCCCCTCGGACGCTGACAGGTGGGGCCCACCTGTCAGGCCCATCCCTAACCTCCGGCCGCCCGCCGTCCGCAGCCGCCGCCTCACAACCGCCCGCGCCCGCCTTCCCCGCGCCACGTCGGCCAAGACCGCACGTGCGTCCGCCCCTCCCGCACCCCTCAAACCCCTCTCCCGCTCGCCCGCGCCCCCGAGACGGCCGGGATTCGAATTTTGAATCCCGCCTCTCTCTCCACCTCCACCTCCCCACGTCGGCCGGCGAAATCGGGCCACTCCCGGTCGTTCCCGACCTCTCCGCCCCTATATAATCCATCCCCGCATCCTCCTCCTCATTTTTCCTTTTTCCGCCAGCCTCTCCCGAGCTCTCCATCGCTCCTGCACCGTACACCCACCCGCCGCCGCCTCTTTCACTACTCCGGCCGCCTCTAGCCGCCGCTAGGGCCGCCGCCGCCGTTGGGTTCGCGCGGCCGAGGTCCACCTCGTCCACCCCTCCTCCGTCGAGGTTCGCCGCCGGAGCCCCATCCCTGTCGTGTGCCGGTAAGAAACGCCATGGCCGCCGCCTTCGGCCGGCGTTTCCGCCCTCTATGGTCTCTCTCTCCCTCTCTAATCCTCTCCATTTCGTTCCTTAGGTCGTCCCGGACCCCGTCCGCCGCTTGTCGACCTCCCTCCGTTGTTCCTCGTCGCCGGTCGCCGTCGTTTCCCTCCACGCCGGTCGGACCCCTTCGGTGAGGACGCCCCTCCTTCCCCTTCCTTCTTCCTCCTCTCTTTTCCCTGGTAGCACCGCCGCTTAGACGTCGTCGCGCCGCCGCCGTCTGCCGAATCGCCGCCGCTGTCCGCCGGTCGCCGCCGGTGCCGCGCCGCCGCCGTGCCATAGCCCCGGGTCGGCTTGAGCCGCCTGCGCGCGCCGGCCGAGGGTAGATCGGTGCCGTCGGTTCGGCTGCCCGCGTGGCTGCCACGTGGCCGCTGCGTGTGCGCCGCGTCGGCGCCACGTGTGCACCACGTGGTGCGCCGCTCCTTCCCGGTCTGTGGACCCGGTCCACCGTGGACCGCCCTACCCGAGTCACTGCCATGTGGGGCCCGCATGTCGGCGCCGCCTCTCTCTCTACCAGGGTTATTTATTGCGCAATAAATCAAATAAGGATTTTTCTGTTCATAGTAAAAGCACATTGAATCTTCTAAAATTCATATCTAATTCATCCGAGCTCCGTTTAAGCCCATTCAAGTCTCAGTAAATCAAGCAAAATGTGTAAAATCCATTAAAAATGGTTTTGTTCTCTGTTTCAGTAGTCTTATAGCATGTTTGTATTGTTTGTTTTGTTTGTCGCTTAGATTCCGGCTCTCCCAACGCTCTGGTGTACTTTGAGATAGTCGCCGAGGTTCCTCCAGCAGCAGAGCAAGGCAAGTCATGCTTGTCACTTGAACATGTTGATCCTATATTGCAAATGTTCTATTGTTTTCCTTCAAATCATGCATTGTTTTACAATGATACTATGGGGTGTTTACCTACTGTTACAGCCATGCTATTTTTGTACCATGCTCCTTTGTTAGCTTGTGTTATAAACATGACTAGAGATTGGACTAGGGATTGCTTAGCCATGCTTAGTTCAACTAGCACACAATGGGGGAAATCACATTAATGCTTAGATATCGGATTCTAGTAAGACGTTGGTTAATGCCATCGCTCCGGTGTTGGTTAATTAAGATATGTTAAATGGTGGGCTGTGGGTGCATGGTTTTGTTGGTCGCGCCCATGGCATTTAAGGACCGGTTCGCGGGATGCCCTGGAAGAACTTATCGTACTTACCACAAGCCAACGTGGGCAACGGTTGGGCTTGTAGTGTAGCTTTCCTCTAGTTAACGCATCCAGGCAAGGGTGGGCGTGATGGAGCGGGGCGGGCCCTGCGACGGCCTCTGTCGCTTCCGGATTCACCTAGGCACGAGAGGGGACTGCCCGTTGCCTGCTAGGGACAGGGGTGAAACCTGAGGTGTGGTGTGCTTGGCTAGAGGGGGTTATGCGAAGAGTCTTGTCACGACCTCTTTCCGGTATGTCGTGGTGGCATGTCGGCGCACGGAAACATGTCGTGGGGCTGTGTCTTGTGGGTAAAGTTGTACACCTCTTATCAGAGTAAAACTATTCGAATAGCCGTGCCCGCGGTTATGGGTGGTCAACCAGATTCACCGTGATTAGTCTTACCCTAGTTTAGTCTGATGGAACTGATTAGTTCAGGTGGTTGGTTGGGCCTGTTGCAACGTGGTGTAGCGTTGAACAGTGGATGGTTAATATTGATTAATTATTACAACTGTTTTACTGTTTTCAACTACTGTTTATAAATGTTCGCTTTATGCAAAAGAACCTCTCTAGCTATCCTTTCGTAATATCCTGCATCATACCCCCTGTTCCGATATGACTTGCTGAGTACAGTGGGTAGTACTCAGTCTTGCTTTATTTTCCCCAAAACCCCAGAGTTTGAGTATGCGTCAGATGGTGGCTTTTCCAAGGAGTAGCCTTCGTCCGTGGCGTCGAGGATGCCTATGGAGTGGTGTTCCCGCTGCAGTTAAAGTCAAGGCTTAGTTCCGGTTATCTTTTGTTTTTCCGCTGCATTTATGTAAGACTTTTATAATGTTTGTAAGACGTGGATCTGTATGTCAAATTTGTCGTTTGTGTACACCGGCCGGTCCTGGACGGGGATTTTAATGCACATTCTGTTTGGAATTCTATTCGGGAATTTCTGGGCGTGACAAGTTGGTATCAGAGCCGACCTTGACCGTAGGACAAGCCAAATGGAAAAACCTCAGAGCCCTCTGAATCCTTTTCATTGCATATGTTCTTTGCAATTGGATTTGTTTCGGGAAAATTGGGATCTGTTCTTGTGGTGCAAGGGAAAAATTTTGGTCGCTCGTTTAAGTGAGATTTGTCAAATCAAGTCAGTCTGGGGTTTTAGTAAAATTATTTGAGATTTATTCGACAGTCAGTCGGGATTTGATGGGAAGAATGCATTAGGTCCTAACTCAGGAATATGGGTTGCAAGGTATTTATGCTCTTATTATTAGTAGTGTGTATCTAATTTCTCATTATTTTATCGCTATGTAAGTTCGTCTTATTTATTCGCCCTCATGCAAAAATGGTCTATACACAAAATTATGCTCTCTTTAGTTCACTTTCATTGAGTCTTTTACTGCTTTATTTAAATTGGATTTGAGCATGCATTGATCCTACCCCTTTGTCTTCTCTAGATGGCCGATCACCCACCCAACCACCGCGGAGAAGGCATGGATGATTTTGTGGCAGAGTTGGCTCGCATGACCCTAGTGGTGGGCTACCCCAACGCGCCGGAGTACTCGACCGTTCCACCGCTCAATGGCGAGCTTCCCCACCGTGTTCGTCTGGAGGTTCATGGCTATGTGGGCACCTGCCTCGCTAATATGGTGGTTGAGGCATCTGGGGGCACTGCAGATCATGCCTGCTAGGAGGCAGCATATCTGATGATGGCCAGACTTCGTGAGCGCCACAACTACATCTTCTGCAACACGGCATACCATTTCCACCCTCGTCGAGCAAGTGGTGACGATGTCAACACCTTCCGCCCGACAGCCGGCGAGAACGACACCACCTTCGGCCACATGTGCGCCGTGATGAGGGGAATGGACAGGATGCACTCGGATCTGCACAAGGCATCCAAGGCCTTGAATGACAGGAAGCTCGTGAGGATCATAGCTTTAAAGGATGAGATAGCGCGCCTGAAGAAGGAGAACGCTTAGTTGAAGGGTCTCTCTGCGCTAGGAGGAGTTCGGATCCGCACCACGCCCCGCAAGTCTACGACTGCTCCCGTGCGCATTCAGCTTGCGCCCAGGAACCCACCTCCTCCTGCAGCTC